TTATTCCCATAGTCCAGTTGCTTAAATATTTTAGCTTACAGTACCTTGAAATGCCACGTTTTGTTTACTGGAAGTCAACCATAAAACCTGGAGTTTTTATATGTACTCATACATTAACCTATGTCCTACATTTATGGCATCTAGTTTTTCAGAAAGAGAAAGAAACAAGTTGGTCATACCTTTTCTCCTCCAGTAAATATTTGTATTAATTTATGCTGACTATCTACAAACATCTTCAATGATGTTGTGTGTGGCCATCCTGCAAATGCCAGGTGATTCTAACCCACGAAAGAGGGTCCTTTTCCCAGCAGAGTACTGAAGATCATTGCCTAAGCTCCACATGAATCTCAGTTTTATGTTATTGAACGTCATAGAAATGAACACAGTATAATCCTGTCGCAGAAGCTGAAAAATGGCTTATAAAGCAAAAGCTGGAGGAAGGCTGTCGAATGAACTTCTGTAAAACACAGCCTGCACTTGGATCAAGTCAATCATCGGTAACATTGACGTCTTTACTCAGCAGAAAGCTCAGGGAGGTGTGTGACTTTGTTTATATAGTGACATAATGAAACTAAAAGGTAATTAAACCGCTTTTATGTCAATGGGACTACATATTTGGTTAAAATTGTGCACCTGCTTAAGTACTCTGCTGTAGTAGGAAAGATATGATGTAAAGTTTAAACTTAGATGATGTTTAAGTAAACTTGGTGATAAACACAATGCCAGCCTGCTTGGGCTGAGGCTCACCGGGTAATGAAATTGGAGGCACTGCCGAGACACGCAGCGGCCCACCCCTGGAGAAGGGAGGGCAGGCAGGGTGCTACACACCCTGCCAGTCCGGGAGCGCCTGCCTGTGGCTCGGCTACATTTCTGTCTTTGGCTTGTCCACCTCCAAATAACAGTTCTTATTCAACTATAGCACCAACAGAAGACTCCATCAAAGCTGCGATGTTGCTGTCAAAACATACGTAGGACCCTAATAAATGCAGGAATACTGGGCAATCTTTCCTCATCTCTATGAACTGGTAATTAACGTATGAACATTTGGGAAGGAAAATAATTAATTTGGGATTACTGTAAAGGCAGTGTTGTTTTTCGCAAGTTGTACAATTGTCCTGTGAGAGCTTAGGAAATACTGGATTTAGGTGCAATACCGGTGGCTGCAGCTCCTCCTGTTAACATACATCACTGTCATATTTTCCCCCAAAAAATATACAATAGCTTGCAGCCAGCTTAAGGCACAGTGTTGCTGTCAAGTGAGCCATCTTCCTTTCCTGTCGCTCCAAATCCATGAGGCTCTAAATCTGTGAAGTTCTGGAATAAGTCCTGAAGGAATTTACATGCCGGTAAATAGTTACTTTCAGAGTTTATACCACGTCTGGCCATATCTACAGTTTTGCATACATCAAACTGAGAACAGTGTTTGTCAGACGTTTTAGGCTCCAGGAGCTGAATTCATCAGGATCTCCACCCTGCGGATAAGCACTCCCTGACGGCGCTTAGGAAGAACGCTCTTCTTTATCTAGGAGATATTAAAAGGATCACTGGACATTTGATCTTCACTGACATAGCACACAGGCGATCCCAGAGGGATTCCCGGGGATTAAAGAGCACACATCTACGTGAAGGAATACATGAGGGGGTCGGTTTGTTACACAAGCAGTCGCAGAAGGAAATTATCTACAGGATCACAGCTCTGCTGCTCTTCTTTATCTGGCTTCTATGCCTTGTAGCAAGTATCTTGGTTATAGCTACCAGCTTTTTAGTATTTAATAGGATTTTAGTATTTAGCTTTCAGTTGTAGGTTTTCAAGTATTTATCTATAAAATACGTCAGGATACCAGGAGAGAAATAATTCTGCAAACAAAGGTTGGAGATCAGGAAGGACACATCGACTTAGGAGAACACATACACACACGACTCATGCGATGTAGTTGGGGAGGTGGCATTTGTTTTCATGTGCTTCCTTTGCTATTTCTTATGGGTTGGGCTAAAAGGAGATCTCAAAAAGTGTCTAGAGAGACGTTTTGCCAACGGGACTGTCCGCCTGACCAGAGGCAGAGGGCTGGAAATCTTGAGTGAGAACGTGTTCTCACATCAGCTTCAGCTTCAATTCAGACCCAGACCTCCTGATAAGCTGAAGAAGTAAACTGTTTGCACTGCTGGCCTGACATGGACTTGTAGCGTATTGCCAATACAGAGTCTCCAGCCAACTCCAGGCAGAAGGATCTGTGTCCTGTCCAAGAGTGGGGCTGAGGGATGTTGACCTGAGGAAGGGCACCCACAAGATGCGAAGCCTGGCCCAGACCCAAGTGCTGAGGTGGCAGCCAGCAGGCTGGACGCAGGCCACCGGGCAACACCATCCGGCCCTCTCTTCTGTCGTAGCTGGGAAAGAGCTGCTGTGGCCAACGGCTGTTGCGGCATCGTGTGAGGAACAACAGCACAAGCTTTCTTAACTCACCTGCATGTAGCCAGGTCCTCTGAATTACTGCCGCACTCACGTGGCCTGTCAGAAAGGTCCACCAAGGGGTATTTGGCTCTGTGGGCTGAGCCATACCGGTGTAACAGGGACACGCTGTTATTTAACCAGGAGTTAGTCAGTGGGACGGAACGTTATTGAGTAAGGCCCTGCCGGTCCTTCAGCTATCCCTTGGTACGGTCTCTTAAGACACAGACTGCTGCTGCTGAGCATTATTCTGAGGTCTAGCACTGGTCCCAAGCCCATGTACACTCTGTTGAGCCTTGTGGGCTTTTAGAGTAATTCTGACGTTGCCAGCTTAACACAAACTTCAGTCATACTAGATCAAAGCAGAGCCGTGTAACAGATACAAAGAGGCAGTAACAGACTATTCTGTGACTTCCATTTCCATGGCTAGGAGGAGAGTTGAAGCCAGGTCTTCAACTCAGACTTCCCAGAAATCTTGTGCAAGCTTTAGCAAATAGCTTTTGTGCTAAGAGTTCAATCAAGAAGAAGTGACACATTTTTTTCTGGCTTTACTTAGGTCTGCACTGTGTGCATCCAAACTCTTCAACTTTCAGTGCAAATATCTGTATTTCTAGCTAGCAGGGTGTGGCGATAGAGTTCTTTATTCCAGTGGAACAACATCTGGAAATCATTTCCTTTATTTTGGCACAAAAGAATTCATTAAGGGGCAGGAATATCTGAATGACATAATTCCAAAGTGATGTATGTTTCTCCTGGGTAGTGCAGTGACTATTAACCATAAAATGCCCCACACAGAGCAAAAAGCAATCTGATTCATCAAGGATAAACTCAAGAACTACTGCCATGCAATATAATCCCTTGCTAGGTACAGGATTTATAAAAGCACTATAATTACCTCATCTGTTTAGCCTAATTATCAAATGTTATCGCCCGCAGAGCAGCCAAAACGACAAATAGTTTATTGATAATGGTAAATTAAAGTTTCAAGGCCAACAAAGGCTAAGGAAAACACCAAACAGTGAGACTCAGAGGTCTTGAGCTGCATTTCAGAGCTGAAAGGAATGCCTTCTGTAAGTCACAGAATGAAACCCGCCCAGGCAGTTTTAATTCGCTTTCCTTAATCATTTATTTGTAAGAAATTTATGTATGTATGAGTGTGTGTATTCATGCATAAGAGCACCTGTTTTGTACTTAGGTGGGTCTTGCTTAATGCACTGATATTTATCTTTACTGTAAACATGGCCTTAACTGTTATGTTGAAAATCAATTATGAGTTTCTAAGTGTACTCTTCATCACAGTATAATATACCAGACTAGAAAGATTACCATCAAAACTTTCTGCTAATTTTAGGTGCCCATTCTGACTTATCTAAATTTTCACAGTACCTAGTATTTCAGGGCAAGCCACACAAATCAGAACTTCCATGATCCCACTCTTTAGCTGCAGTTCTCATGCCCCACAATCTCAAACTCCATGACAAAAAAAAAAAAATCAAGACCTAATTATTATCTGTGCACATGTAACACCATAACTGTGTGCAGAAAGCCCAACTAAAGTAATTTGCCTGGCATTACGCAGGGTCTCTGGCAGAAACAGGAGTAGAAATCTACTTCTGCAAAGGGTCATCAATGGCTTTAACAAGGACGCTATCGGTTCTGTTCCCGCATGCCTCACCTGACTTGCTACTTGTAGCTTCTGCAGTAGGAGAGGAAGGAACCTCCTGGCAGAAGTTTCCTTCTCTCTAAAGCTGTTGTCCATCCCCAGAAATCATTCATCCCCTGCCTTGAATGCGGCAAAGGTCACATAGGAAGAACAGACTGCGATTTTACGAACAGTAACTACTTTGTAATGCGTGTGCTCCAGGGGTCAGGCAACCTCCTGACATCTTGTCAGTTGAGAACCTTAAAAAAACCAAATACACTTAGAACACAAGAATTTGTGTCGGGTAGCATCATCACGACATCTGTGTTTTCCACCAGCAGGGTCAGATTCTCTACATTCTCTGCATAGATTTCTGCTCTGAGTTAACCGAGCAACTGACAGCACAGTAAATTATCACCCTCTGTGGGGACCTGCAGTGTAGGAGGGAGGAGAAATTAATTTATGGATGGCTTTCCCAAACATTTACCTATAGGAGAGTAATGGCAAGAATTTAAGAACTTGGATAGCATGCCAAATTTTATCAGGGAGATTTCATCTTGTGTCCCTTTACCTCTACCCCAATCCTATCTCCTTTCTCAATGTCCAAGTCTGCTGTCGCTGGAATTCTCATTCTCACTCTTTAATCACTGTGCCTATTCAGGGTGTAATTCAACCGCGTGTTTCCATCAGCAGTAAAACCCAATCGAATGCTCTCTCCACCTGCTCGCTCCTGCGTTTTGCCATCCCCTGAAAGATAGGACTGCTAGGGCTATGCACTGATCCACATTTTAAACTTCACTCCAAAAATCAGAGAGGCATGAGATATTTTCAACGCACCTCATTTCATAAACCCAGTTCATAGCAGCACAAGCACTTGCACAACTCAGACCATACAGGATCAGGTACGAGAAGATGCAGAACAGGAGCAAGGTGTTAAAGGAGAGAGATGGTAAGAAAGAGGGAGTTTTTCTTCCAAATTTATTTGGGACTACTCCTTCAGGCCTAAGCAGCTCCTCTGCTCTGTCCTGTGTGTCAAAGCCCCCACTCCCTGTGCTAGCATCCTTGCCAAGGAGAGCACCAGGAGTGCCAAAGGGAGAAGTTCCCTGACCCCGTTCTTGGCCATTGGTGCTAGCTTGCCTAGCGTAAAGAGACCTTCACAGTTGTTGGCGAAGTTTTGTACGTTTCTTTGTGGCCATGGACTGGAGCATGTTCAATACCTCAGAGTTCTTCAAAGCAGTCAACGCTTGAAATAAAGGAGATACAAGGCCTTTTAGAAATGCACTTCTGTTATTCTTGCTTGCCTGAAACCTAAAAGATCAGCCTAAGAAACATTTGGATTGTGAGACTTGCAGCCCAAATGCCAGGGGAAAGCAATATGCAACGGAAGATCTTTGCATCCACATCTCTGAGAATCAAAAATGTCAGGAACAGCAATGTACCATTCAGGAAATATGTTGTTCTAATCTGATCTCAGATTTTAAGAAGTGGAGTAACAAGAAAGCCGTTGACAAATGAACCATAAAGACCTGTACTAAGAGCAGCTGATTTCTGACAAACAATTTCCCTCAAGCAGGATGAGCTTACAGAAGCTGCGCTTTGGAATGGGGAGGTGTGGACAAGAAAAGGCGCATTTCTATTCTGTAATGTCACTGTGTCTGCACAAAGGTTTGTGTTGTCTAAAAAATGCTTTAAATCGCCATGGGAAGAGCACTGCACGACAGCGAAGTGGCTTTGTGCTACACGTGACAGTCCCATTGCAAGGTTTGCCTCTTGATATAACATGTGCAGAAAGATGAAAAGACTCTGCAAGAAAACACACTGCCATCAGCAAAATGATTTTTTTCTAGAGGATGGTGGTTTTGGCAAGAAAATTAAGATCATCAGCCAATAACAGGAAACCTCCCAGAACTCTGACCTGGATTATAGAGGATCTTTGGCTACAAACGTTTCCTGATTTCAGTATAAATCCAGATCAAGCAACTTAAACCCTGAGATTAAGCAATTTAAAATCTGAATTGATCATAGAAAGTTCATTCGTATGATTTCTGTTGGAGAGGGGTTCACACCTTACAGCACCAAGGAAAGGCAGAGGCATTCAGGAAACCTACACAGACACTTAGCTCCAGTGTGAAAACATACTTGATCTGAATGCTAAATGAAAAATCATAAATAAATATGCACACCTCCTAAACTCTGTACTTCCCTGTAGGGGATAAGCCAAAACTGAAGCCGTTTTGACAGTTTTAGTAAAATGGTACAAAAATAAAGTTCCCAGCTCATTTTGCTTAAAAACCACGAGTCATGCACTTTTAAAATAAAGTATAGCGTAGTTTGTATAAGTATACTTAGGGCAGTGTACATATTCACACAGCTGTTGGATTGGCTCCAGATCAGTCTCTAAAAGAGACTAAAGGTCTATGAATGTGGAGCTAAATAATTCCTCAGATTTATTTTATGATTAGTCAGGAATTATTTAAGTTGAAGATTTGTTTAGCACCAGAAGCAGGTGGTTTTTGCTGCAGTTCGAAGTTTCCATAACAATGACAGGAGTGCCAATTAAAAGCCAATTAGTCATGGACATTACTTGAAGGCCCAGTACTTTGCAGACTTTCCCCTCTTCAGCCTCCCTTCTCTGGAGCTGCCCTTTATCCTCTGCACAAAGGCTTCAGAACGAACGTGGACTGTTTGCCTGTCTCCATGGAAGCCTTGCCACGCTGCACCCTACGCAGACGCTTCCCAGGCACCCGCAGCACTACGCTCCCCTCTGATCTTTGCCCTAAACAAATGTGCTGTTTATTCGCTCTGCTTCTCATTTATGAAGACCCATTTGATACTGTAGGAATACTGACGAGGAAAGAATTAAACCTATGTTTAAGAACGAGTGAAGATTCCTCCTCTTAGCATTTACCATGACAGCGAAAGCATACTGGTTGGCCTCTTTCGTTAGGCTCTTCTTTAAATCCTGAAACCTCTGCCACTTGAAAATTAAGAGTGCAGATTTGGCATTAAAGAAAATGAAAAGCTCCCAGATAGGAAAAAATGACCTTGTGGTTAAATCACATAAGAACTCAGGAGATGGGGGTGTTTCATTGTGCTGCTACCAAAGAGCATCACCACGGCTCCGTTCATGCCCACATCCCCTCATCTGAGAGCAGTGATGAAATGCTGTATACTTCAACACTGTGAAGTAAGGAGTGTGAAGAAACCCTAAGAAATTAAACCTTCTGTACTGTTTGGCTGCATCTCCTTTAAAGACCAAAAAACAGAGAAAATCCCGTCAGAAATCTGAAATATTCTCCAAAGTCAATGTAGGAGCCTGTATCGATGGCAAAACTAAAAGAAGGAAACTGTCCTTTTCTTCCAGTAGACAACAAAGATTCATCAGTCTCCTTAACACGATTCCTCTAGTTCTGTGCAACATTCCTGATGCAAACCTTCTTCAACCCATCTCATGTTGAGTTTCCAGTTGTAGTTTAAAGGAATTGTAGGTTTGCCCTTGCAGCTGCACGAGCAGTATTAGCAGCTCCCTTGCTCCTCCCACAATTTCTGTACAGCCAGAAATATCTCTAGCTCTGCCTCCTGATCTTTGGCACCAAACTTGGCATATTGCTGCCTTAAACCAGCGTGTTTACACATCCCTCCTTCAGAACTCTGTTGCGCAGGACATTCCCCGCCTTGACCTCTGTCAAGTGGGCTGCTGGGCCTGTCCTTCCCTGTCACCATCCCTGGTCACCACTGCGGACAAACCAGTGGCCAGCATCACGTAACACTGGACTCCTGGCAAGCCTTCCAGTGTTGTTATTTCCAACGGATCCTTGACATTATGGATGAGCTGATCAAATGTGAAATCTCTCGGGTTTGTTTTTAAACTTGCATATCTACTCGTGCTGCTGGTTGCTTTTTTTCTTCATTTTTGTCTGGCATGGGTGAGCTCTGAAATTCCAGCTTGTCTGGCCACGTGTTCCTTCACCCACATTTAAAATCTGCCCCGCTCCTAAACACCTTGGAATAATTTCCACACATGGTTCTAGAAGACAAGGCTGTATCTTCATCTGTGCTGCCTTTTTGTTTAGGGTGTAAGGCACACTGACTTTGCCGTATTTCTTCTGCTGGAGACACTAATGCACAGTGTGATCTGAGGCAAATGGTAGAGCCTGTGCCAGAAACAAGATTTAAATTCTGGAGCACCTGGGTCTGAAAACCTTTGTTCAGAAGGTTTCTTTCTTGTTTGCCAGGTGAACATCTGCAGAGAGGACAGACATGGCTGTCTTTAATCAATACATTGGGCAGAAAGACCTAACAAAACATGCTGTCTGCATGCTCCCTTAATTCCTCCACATAAAGAGAGAGCTGATGAAGTCCTCTCAAGAAAATGACTACAGAATAATTAGAGTTTGTGCTTTGTATTTCATCAACTAACTTTAGGCTTCTGTACAAGAGCTACAAAGAAGTGAAAGCTATTATTTAGGTCTGTCCTGAATCTCATCGAAGTAGAGGGAGTCTGCTATTCCAAGTCCTGAGTTATATGGGAAGGATTGGTTTTTTCCACCAAACTTCTGAATGTTCCTTAGAATGCAAGCTAAACCAAAACCAGGCTGCCAGAGGTATGCAGTCAACACCACCAGCAGATCTCCCATTAAACATCACAGCATGTAACCACTTTTGCTGGGAAAGATTTTCATATTTGAATATTCTCAATGTTTATGACCTTAACCAACTTTGAGACTGCAATGAATCGGTACTGAAGTGTGAACATCTCTGTGTTACGTGAACTCACTCCAGAGATCTCTGAAATCCAAACAGATCTAAATTATACTGCAGCTCAAAACTGAGAACAATCTGCACAATACCAGCTTCGGTCCTCAAGAGATTGCAAAGGACTCATATTGAGTACCAGACCCCAAGATATTTTTGTCTTAAAATGAAGGAAATTAGCACATTTCAGAAAGACAAAATATAACATTCTTGTGAAATGAAATACTACTACATTCCCCAGTAACTGTCCAGAACACTGCAGCTCTGTGACGCTTCCAGGAGCCCCATTTCAAATGCCCAAGCTGAACAGTGCTTGCTATTTGTGCACTACTTTGTAATTATTTTTTCCAGAACTAATGAAGCTAAATGACTAGCCAGGCTCCACTCTGGAGACCGCTATTTCCCTTCCTTTACAGGAAATCCAATTGTCACTAAGCTAAAGAATACTATAAATTGTAAATGAAACATGCCATGAGTTGTTAGGCAGTCAGCTCTACTCGAGGGGGTAAAAGAAGTGCTGGCTCCTAAGCATGGTTTCCCTCAGCCTCCGTCCCCACAGACATTCTGAAACACTGACCTCTGTTGTTGTTAAATTCATGGTCTTATTTACTGTCACAAGCAACAAGGGAACGAACATTGGTGTGGTCCTTCAGGAACTGATGGCTGTGAGAGATGAAACAAAAGCTCTCTGCGATACTTCTCTCTAACTTGGCAGCAGCTTTCCTGTTACTACGGCTCAAGTCCTGTTTCTGACGGCAGTTCAGTTGACGGGCAGGAAGTATTTAGAAGATTTGTACAAAAAGATCATGTTATACAACTTGTTTCAGTAGGACTAATTTGCTAAGTGTTTTAACTCTCACTTTTTGTTGATGAATATTTAATGTGTTAAGTATAAGGAACAGTCAGTATTCACCAGACCAAAACTAATCTTAGAATGAGTTTGGAGGGAACTTAATTTACTGTAAAACTCCTGAATTTGGTTTGCTTTCTTCTGCATATGGATTCTTTGTGAACTACATCACAGCTCCTACTGGGAAAAGTATAACCGCGTTATTATATGGTCTAAATAGGAAAATATCCTGATGCATCTATTGAAAATAAACTGTTTTCTAAATAGTAAGGAAGGAAGCAATGGAAAAGCACTCTATATGAACATATAGCAGGACATTACACAACGCGCAGATGGAACGTACACAAGCTTGTGATGGGCTGGACTTGGTGTTGATTTAGCTCCATCCCTGAGAGGTAGCTTATCCCCACCTCCGAGAATGTTTGATGTAAACCTTTCGTGTGTGGATGGATATGCCAAATTTCCATTTACCCCATAGAACTGAGTTTCTTATCATAAGAGTCCCCACAGCAAAACGAAGCATGCTGTCAGCGCAGAAGGGAGAGTTTATGGCCAGAGTAGACTGTTTCCATATGTATTTTCTAGGTGTCTTTGACCTGAGCTAAAAGCTATTAGTAACGTTTAGTTCTTATTACCTGAACCCAAGAACAGCTGCAATCCTCCTTGCTTTGATTCTTGGTGAAGGACCCAAAAGCAGCCGGCGGGGGTTCGATGTCCCCGGCACTGAAGGCAGACACCCCTGCTCTTCTGCAGCACCTCTGAACGATTTCATCTGATCCCTCGTGCGCTGCAGTGTGCGCACTCACCTCGGCTCGTCAGGTTTCCTGCAAGGCCACTTGATTTTGCCCTTCTTTTCCAGGTCGGAGGTTGTGAGGTGTCAGCTCTCCTCGAGCAGCAGCCCCCCGCAGGGATGGGGAGCAGCCTCGCCGGA